GTATTAAATGTAAACATATTAAAATTATGTATTAAAATTTAATTTTTTTTTAAAAAAGTAAAATTTTAATTTTACTTTTAAAACATTTTGGGGGCTTTCCTTTCTCCTCCCACCCCACTACAACCATTAGGGTGTCGGCTAGTGCTGTCCACAACCTCTGTACCCCCTAATGATGCTGCTGCCTGCCCCTGACATTGGCTTGCCATCCAAGGATCTGAGCATCAGAAGACAGCAAGCCCCATTGACTTCAATGGCCACACGTGCAGACGGTCCCTTCAAAACGACCGTGTGTACATGCCATGCCTTTAAGTCATAGAATCACAGAGTTGGAAGAGACCCCAGGGCCAACCAGTCCAACCCCCTTCTTCTGCCATGCAGGAACTCCCAATCAAAGCATCCCCGTTGACAGATGGCCATCCAGCCTCTGTTTAAAGACCTCCAAAGAAGGAGACTCCACCACAATCTCCATTGAGGGAGTGTCTTCCACTATCAAACAGTTTATACTGTCAGGAAGTTCCTCCTAATGTTGAGCTGGAATCTCTTTTCCTGGAGCTTGCATCCATTGAGGCTCCATTGTGTCCTATTCTCTGGAGCAGCAGAAAACAAGCTTGCTCCATCCTCAGTTATGAAATCCTTTCAAATACTTAAACAGGGCTATATTAATATCACCCCTTAACCTTCTCTTTTCCAGGCTAGACATACCCAGCAGCCCCCCAAGTCTCTCCTCGTAGGGCATCATGGTTTCCAGACCCTTCACTATTTTGCTGGCCCTCCTCTGGAGATGCCGATCTATTCTAGACATTATACTTCCATCGAGGCAGCCCCGAATCGCATTGGCCTTTTTAGCTGCCGCATCGCACTGTGGCCCGTGTTCGTTCCCCTTGAGGTCCACTAGGGCTCCTAGCTCCCTTTTCGTTGCCAGGCCAGGTGCCCCCCTCCTCTGCCTGTCCCTCCCTCTTAACCTTCCCTTCTCCAGGCTAAAGAGACCCATCTCCCCTCAGAGGGTTTCGCTCCGGACCCCTCGGCGGCGCCCAGCCGGAAGCGGAACCTTCCCGCCGCGGCTCTTGTTGTCGCCGGAAGCGCCGGACCGACGGACCGGAAGGAGCCGAAGGGAACAGGAGGAAGGGGCGGGCCAGCCGCACGGAGCATGCGCGTGCTCCGCGGCGAGGGCGACGGCGACGGCGACGATGGTCCTCCGGCGGCTGCTGCTGGCCCTCCTCTACGACCCGCGGCTCCTGGACCGGCTGGCCGAGGCGAGGCCCATCCGAGCGGCGGCCCGCCTCACCGCCTCAGCCCTGACCCGCGGACTGCGCCTGCGCGACGCCTTCCTCCGCGAGCTGAAGGAGGAAGCGGCCCGCGCCAAGGACCAAACCAATCCGCGCCCGGGGAAGGGAAAGGGGCGGGGCCCGTGAGCGGCGGGGGCGGGGCCGAGGGGATAACAGTCGTCGCGGCGCGGGGGCCGCCGGGCCTTGTAGTTCTTCTCCTGAGCCTGAGGCGACTGAGTGTCGGGGGCCCAAGGCCTGTTAGCCAGGGCAGGCCTCCCTCCTTTCTCCGGACACGTCCTCCTCCACTTCCACCGTGGCCTCCGTTCTGGACACGACGAAGGAGCAGAGCTTTGGGCCTTGTCTGAGGCCCCCTCCTCCACTTTGTGGTGCCTTCTCCTCCTTTGTGGAGCTTAGGCCATCATCTGCTGGTCACCTCACCCTCAGGGAAGGCAGGCGCTCAGGGGCCTGGACAAAGGGCCAGCCGGCGTGGCGTGGAGATGACCGCCACCAAGCGCTGCAGGCCGCACCAGGCCCCGAATGGCCCAAACACCTTTCGGCCAAGAGGCCTCCCTTCACGGGGCCCAGCCCAGCCCTCGCCTCAAGCAGGACAAGGCCTGACTCCGGACCCGTCTCCTCCTCTGTGCCTTTGGGGCCTTTGGGTTGCCCACTGGGGGCACGGCCTGCGTGGATTCCCCGGCTGCTGCTGG